TAATTCAAATTAGTAAAATTTTTGCTACTTAAAATTTTGTTTAAAGTAGTTTAAATTAGAAACAGTATTTTTTCGGTAGATTAATAAAATTTTCTCACATCAACTCTGTGTATACGAGGAAGCAAATTATAATTGCTACAATGTGAGAGTCACTTAACCCAGAGAAACTATTATAACAGCTCAGATATTAAAACAACCTGCTTGATTCGCGAATATGTGTGTTTTATTTTTTATTGTACACTATATAGTAAACGAGAGTGTAATAGTACATTAAGGGGATGACTCACTTATAAATCTACGTGAATTGGCTGATATTGATAAGTGTGTGACTGTATTGGTCGTTGAACAGGTGGTGGAACGTCATTCACTCCACGACTTCCTCCTCATTCAAACACCTTTTAGGGTTCGAAACTTGTTAAATCATTGCTATTAATTTCAAAACTCGGTGCTTTATTTGTAGCGAAAATTTTATTCCGCAGAACACTTTAGACCGATTTTTTTAACCTTTCGTTGACAGACTAAGGTCATTTTTTTAGGATTGAGATCATCCTAAGGATTGAGGATTAAAATCAATTAATTTAAATTTAATGATTACAGAATTTATCAATTAAATTTTGATTTTTCAATTAAATTTTTGTTATTTTGTAATTTAATTTATTTTCCCAAGTTTTTGTGACTTGGAAACATTTTTCCTGCGAAAAAAAGACCAAAATGTTGATATAGTGAAATAAAAAGGATATAAATGGTGAATATTCGCATAATCTAAAAATACAATCTTGTACATAGTGTACAGCACTCATCCCACAAAGGCCTTTGACCTTTTTGTCTTTGATTTTCCTAATGCTCTGGGAAAGTTGCACCTGCAACAAAGCCTAGACGGCCGGAGTCTGGCATCACAAAAAAAGCATTATAATGCGAGGAGTTGGTTCACAAGATCAAAGCAAGTTTTTACGCTTTCAATCTCAAATCAGGTTTCATCGCTATGTATTCTTTCACGACCACTCTGTCTGTGTATTATTATTTGTAATGCCGAATATAAAATACGACAGGACATTTTATTTTGCGTTTCCTTTTCTCTTTCTCTCTCTTTCTCTCCGGAGATGAGATATGAAGCAGCTAAAACCGATCCCAGTAAAGATAATTAGTAGGTCGCTGTCTGATTAAGGCTTATTGCTAAACCCATTTCCCGCGCTTGACTTCACTGAATCAATTGTGAAGCTGTCACCGGTTTACAAACTCTGAAAATTAGAAGTGTATCCTCAATCAAGAATTTCGTTACATTACACGTAGGGAAATGTTGATTTTCAACTATTTTGATATCCTTAGAAAAAAATGTGATTATTTGTCGATTTGATTCTATTAATTTCTATTGTAAGTATTTGCAGGGCTCGAACTAGGTCCGAAAATTCCGTAAATGTTCGTAAATTTGTTTAAAGTCCGTAAGAGTCAGTTTTTATTTTAAAAAAAGGTCCGTTAAGTCCGTAATTTCATTGAAAAAGCAAGAAAAGTTCATAAATTTAACGATGTAATTTGGAAAATTTTTCAGAAGTTACAAATAATTGCAAATATTCAATTATTTTCAAAAGTAATAAAATTCTTTGGAAAAATTCAATTATTTATTTATTTTTAATACTACAACTTTAACACGAAGTTGAAGTCCACAACGTTGATCAACGAAAAAAATTTGTTTAATCTATTAATATTGTTTTTAATTTAATATTTAATTGTATAACAATTATTATAAAATCATAAACATCAGTCTATTTTTTCTAAATATTTTTGTGACATTATTGCTATGTTATCTTTTATTAATTTACTAACTGAACAATTTTTTTTTCGTTGATAAACGTTGGGGACTTCAATGTGATACTTTAACAACATTTCATGAAACAATTCAATTTTTAAAAAAATTCTTAGTAACATTTTTCGAAGGAAACCAATTATTTTCTAAAATTTTAATAAATCCTTCGAAACAATTCAATTTTTTATAAATAATAAAATTCATCGCAAGAATTAAATTATTTTTCGTAAATAATAAAATTCTTCTCAGAAATTCAATTATTTTCAATACAATTATTAACAAATTCGATTGTATTCAATAAATTAAAGAAATTTTTCAAAAGAATTTAATTATTTTCAAGAAACTAAAAGAAATTCTTCAAAAAATTTAATTAAGATTATGAAACATTTCAATAAAATTCTTCCCAAATTCAATTATTTTTTCATAAATAATAAAATTCTTCGAAGAACTTCAATTATTATCAAATTCTTTGTCAGAATTAAATGATTTGCATAAATTTTTTTATAAATTTATTCGCAATAATTCAATTATTTTCATAAATAATATAATATTTTTACAGAGATTCAATTATATTCGTAAATAATAAAATTTTTACAGGAATTTAATAATTTGCAAATACAATTTTCATAAAGTTTTTCGAACAAAATCAATTATTTAAAATGATTTTTAAAAAATTCTTCGCTAGAATTCAATTATTTAAAAAAAATTTAATAAAGTTCTTCGTAAGAATTCAATTGTTTTTGAAAATTTTAATAAAATTCGTTGCAAGAATTCAATTATTTAAAAATTTTTTTTATAAAATTCTTCAAATCAATTCAATTATTTTTAAAAGTTTTTTTAAAATACAAGAATATTGTAAAAACTTAAAAATGCAATTACTTTGAAAACTTTCAATTAAAATTATTAAACAAACTCCATTATTTTAAAGAAGCTCAAAGAAATCCTTTGAAAGAATTTAATTAAGATTATGAAAAATTTCAATAAAATTCTTCCCAAATTCAATTATTTTTATAAATAATAAAATTCTTCGAAGAAATTCAATTATTATCAAATTTTTTGATAAAATTCTTTGCCAGAATTCAATGATTTGCATAAATGTTTTCACAATAATTCAATTATTTTCATAAATAATATAAAATTTTTACAGAGATTCAATTATTTTCGTAAATAATAAAAATCTTATTATTAATTCAATTAATTTCATAAAAAAAAATTTTCACAGGAATTTTTATTTGTGACGCGTTCCCAAGAAAGGTACCTAAGAAGGAAAAAATTTGAGGTTATGTTTTAAATTTTTTGAGTAAAAATACAGAAAGAGAATCAATTATTAATTAAAAATTGTTGATTTTCAAGTTTTCATTATATTCAAAATATTCAATTAATATTGGTTTAAAATTCAAATAATTAAAAATGAACTTTTAATCAAGATAAATCTAACTCGAACCCAACCTATAATTCTTTTGCTTCTTAGGTACCTTTCTTCGGGTCGCGTCACATTTATAAACACAATTTTCATAAAATTTTTCGAAAAAAATCAATTATTTAAAAGGATTTTTAAAAAATTCTTCGCTAGAATTCAATTATTTAAAAAAAATTTAATAAAGTTCTTCGTAAGAATTCAATTGTTTTTGAAAATTTTAATAAAATTCGTTGCAAGAACTCAATTATTTAAAAATTTTTTTATAAAATTCTTCGAATCAATTCAATTATTTAAAAAAATTTTGATACAATTCTCGGCAAAAATTTCAATTATTTTCAAAAATTTTACAAAAGAATCTGCGCCAACATTTAATTTTATTCATAAAATAATTCAAATTTCACAAGGAACTCAATTATTTACAATTTTTTTATAAATTTCTTCCCAATAATTGCATTATTTTCAAAAATAATAAATCTCATCACAGAATTTCAATTATTTTAAATTTAATTTTTATAGAATTTCCCGAAAAATGTAATTATTCTTAAATATTTTATTAGAATTTGTCAAAAGAATTGAGTTAATTACAAATTTGTTGATAAAATTCTTTATGAAAATTCTATTTAATAAAACATTCAATTATTCAATAAATTATTAAATTTTTTTTTAAATAATTGAATACTCGTAGAATTTTCGATTAAAAATTGATTTAAAAATTAATTTCATTTAAAATTTAAGATAAGAATTGAATTTTAAAATCAATGTAGCGTGAATTTTTAGAAATAATTGAATTCTGTAAAGGTTTCAAATTAAAATCTATTTGAAAATTAAAATTTTAATTAACAATTCTGCGAAATTAATTTTTTTCAAAAGTTCTAATTAATTATTGCATTTTTTGAAGTTATTTTCTAATACATATTTAATTGAAGAATTTTCGAAAATTATTAAAAATAATGGATTCATAGAAGAATTTTATTTAAAAATTCTAGAAAATAGTAATTGAATTGAAATTTTAAAAATAATTTTGAAGAAATTGCAGTAACAATATTCTTGTAATACAAAATAATGATTTTATCAATGTGCTATCTTTAATTATTATAAGACATGAAGAAAGCGATTACTCCGAGTCGAAGACTCGGAGTGATCGATATCTTCATGTTTTATAGTTTTGAAAAATTTAATTTCTAGTTTTAAGTCAAATGTTCTCTTATTTGACTCGGACTGGTTATGTTTTTGTCAGTACGGTCCGTAATTTTTGTATTTTTGGTCCGTAAAGTCCGTATTTTTAAATAAATTTTCACTGGTGCGAGCCTTGTATTTGGATTTGAATCTATTTTTTTATTTTGTTATCGATTCAAAATACTACTGATGGAAACGTAAAAGGCGAGACGTGTAATTCCGGTTTCATTTGTGTCGAAAAAAATAATATAAGAACACACGAACATTGGAACTAGTTTCCTTTGCGGTTGGATGGCGAAAAAAAGAATACTATTTCTTTGTGTGATAAAATTCAACCACGCTGTTCGAGTTGATATTAACATAAGTAGATTTTGATTTATCCAATTGTAAAACGAGACTTCTATGGCTTCTTTGGACTCGTGTTTCTTGAGTCCATTACTTCTAGACGGACTTCTTGGGTCTTGAAACATCTTGAAAGACATCGTGTTGAAATGCATCGAAATATTTTTCGATGCTGAGCATCGATGACAACTTTTCAGGGTCCTGTTATTAGATTAAATAGTTTAAAACTGGTAAAGGGAAATATTGAAATAAATAAACGTATTCAAGGATTAAATTTATTTATTATCTATAAATATAATTATATTTATAAATTTATATAAATGTTATGTTTTATTTGTATATTTTAACATTCATAACTAATGCTTATTTATTGAAAACTTAATGTTTAAAAAATATTATTTTCTTTTTAAATGAGAAATAATTTACAAAACCACTTTTTCTTCAATATGACCCTAAATTGCTTTTGGATTAAGACAATTACTCAAATTTTGTATTCCTTCTTTTATTCTAGTATTTAAAGTTTCTCTGCTCACGTTATATTTCTTTGAAACGAACTCCTGAATTTTGATATTTATTAATTTTAATTCCACAATATTTTTGAAATACCGTTTCTTTCCATAGACATTCTCTGTGGAAAATACTTTTAAGAAATCAAAAAATTGACAGAGGCTTTTCAATGTTTCTTTATTTTCATTTAATCCTGGCACGCATTCTAAGTGCATTAATTTTTGCATTTCTTCACTTATAATCTTAGGAAAACTCAAAGATTCGGGATAATAGTTTTTGTTTAACGAATAATTTTCCATTGCTGTTCGAGTTAGCAAATTAACTATTTTCTGAAAATTGAATTCAACATTTTTTGAATTATTATACATTGGAAATCGATTGCAATCATCAAGTTTCAAAACTTTTTCAAAATAATCAATAGCAAGCTCTAAATGATTCTTGAATAATTTATGTTTTGGCTGCAACAGAGAAAAAAATGTGATTGGTAAAAATTATCACTTATGTGTAGTTAGAAAAAAAGGCAGAAAAAATGTTATTCGTTTTATTTGCAATTTACCTGAGCAGTAGTGTTTTTAAATTCCTGTTTAATTTCTGGCACATTTTTTTTATTGCTATTATAACCACTGAGTATTATAAAAAAAGCATAAAGCCCAGATAGCATTTCCTTAAAATTCATTATTACTTTTCTCCAACCGTGAAATAGAATTTGAAAAAGTTAAAGTTGCTTCTGAATACACTGAATAGAATATGTTCAAAAACAAATTTACGAATGCAGTACATTTATTTTGATAGTGAAAATTTTACTGTAATCCACAGCCAATGAAAATTATCCACGAGGCAAAACAATTTATGTGTTTAGTTTTAAAAGAAATGATTTATATTTATGTCAAATTCACGTGTCTTTCTATTTCAAAATTTCCAGTAAAATTCGTGACAAAACGTTTTGATAAAAAAAAAAATATACGGAGATAAAGATTTTTTAACTGCGCTTTAAAACAATTGCAATTGTTTTTCTTTTCTTTTTCTCTATTGCAGAAATTTACAAACCTATAAAATTAGTTATTTTGAAGATATGGTCGATTTTGTCGAGAGAATTTATCGATCGACAGTCGCTCGACATGCAACACTTACTACATGGCGAAAATGATGGGAAATTTTGAAAAGGATTCTTCTTTTCCCTATTCTCGAGTAGGTATACCTAACAGGATACTCGCGGAGGCATATATTATGTTTTTGATGCTGGTTTCTTTTATGAGAATCGTCTGTAGAGAGGCTATGCAATTTTTCAGAGTCCTTTTTTCTTCACTCATCCAATATACATAATTCGTTGGTCGTGCAAAGTTACCTAAGGCAGACATGGCAAACTTTGTGCATAGTAGTGTATGAACGGCAGTATATGGTGGTTACGGTTTGTGGTTTCAAACAAAGCACCCTTAACAATCTGTTTTAAAGCGCCGGTCCAATTGTAGGTCAGATTCAACCTTTCATATCTGAACCTGAAAGGTCGGGTATCGTGTTTCTTTTTTATCAATTTTAGGATAAAATTTAAGAACTTATTATTTGGTTATAGATTACTAGACTATCATTAGATGATTTTGTAGAGAGTGCATAGTTTGGTTAAAAAGCGGATGAAAAGCGTGAAAAATTTTAAAGCTTTTAGGTCAAGAGGTATGCTTCAAGTTTCTTTTGCTTGCCAGATGGGTTAACAGTTGCGCCAAGAGGCATATGCCGAGAGCAAAATTCATATAGTAAAAGTCAACTTGAAACTAAGGAAAACGAGGAAAAATGTTGAATATGTCTCTCTGCTAACGAGTCAGTGAGTGAATTTTCTGTTTTCACCGAGATGAGTTCATGGTGCATAGAATTTTTATAATTACGTCTCGGAAGATTTTGTTATTTCGGTGTATAAATATTTATAGTGTGCTCTGAAGAAAAGTCCCGGTTGGGGTACGCATTTGACCCTAATTATTTTAGTTCAGAATTCTGGTTAAATTAAAGAAAATCCGTAGTAGATTTGACTACTTTTCAACTTCTCTAAATTCCCTAAGTTCTTTAAGTTCTTAGCTGAATTTAAACAGTTGTATTGACTATCGAAAAGTATCGAAAGAATTAAAAATATAGTTATTGAAACAAGATTTTGAAGAGCAGTTAAAAACAAAAATTCTGGTAATTAGAACTTTTTTCCAATCTACAAATTGTTTGCAATTTTGATAGATTTAAATTTCTGTTTCCAATAGTAAATTTGTGGTATAATTTCTTATTAATAGCGAATGACACATGTTCTGAATATTTGAGCAACAATAAGCGGTTTGTAACCATCATCAATGAGTCGCATTAACAATGTTTCACTCTGTTCGATCTCTCATCGTCAAATCATGTTTATGTTCATCTCAAATAGAGCAAATAAGTGTTACTGAATATTAGATTAGTCTTTGACTCTTGTTTCTTGTTCTTCTTTGAAGAGCCATGTCTAAGTGGCTAAATATGATTAATGTTTATTTCCTTGTGAAGAGGTATCGTACGCAACGAGAAAAATACGCTTTTTATTAGCTGATGACCATTTTGAAAAAGATATTTATTGAAAAGAAATTATATATTAAACACAGTGCAAAAAGAAGTATCTTAAGTGACTACAAAGCTCGCTACAAAGCTCGCTACAAAGTTACTTTTAAGATACTTAATTTTTGCAGTGCAATTATAATATAATAACTGTTGTATATTAATTATTCAATGATCGAAACATACATGATGGTAAAAGAACTAGTTTGGTTATAGGGTGTTTAGAATTGTTATGTAATGGATTTATAAGCTAATAGCAGTCATTCTGTTTCATAAATATAAATCCATTACCTAATGCTGTAAAAAATTAATTTGACTAATGATCAATTAGGTATCGGCTATCAAATGGATGTTATAAATTACATTCGTAAATGCACGATGCAAAGGGATGACATCAGATATCCTCATTAATTCTCCGATAACTGCATAGTAAATTATATAGTATTACGAGGCCAGTGCATAGTTAAATGGGTATTTTTATCTTCCGATTGTAAACTATCACTTTGTGATGCTAAAGATACACGATTAATAGAACAATGGTGTAAGAAAACGTTTGAATTATAAAATTTATGATTTTAATTCACGTAAATTTTCACTAAGGTTTATTGGGGGCATGGCACGTGTTTGTGAAATAAACTTTATGTTCGTTTCTTTTGCTTGTATATTCTCTCTTTTAGATTTTTGTATATATTCTCTCTTGCATATTCTTGTATGTTCTCTCTTCTATATTCGTAATTAAATATTAAATTCTCTATAGCTTTAGTTATGAAGAATTTTAATGAAAGTTTTTATGAGCTTTTCTCACCATTCGATTTATGTAATAAAAATTAGCATCTGCAATTATCTGAAAAATCTTTATGATAAATTTTTGATTGATATAAGCAGAAGGTGGACGTTAGAGGGAAGTTTTATTTCGACTAAGGGACGTTTATTAAAACTTGGCTATTCGGTATTTATTGCAAAAGTTTAATACTGCAACTAGTAAAATTTTACAGTGAAGAAAAGAGAACCAGTAAATTTTCTTCTTTTTAGTTTTTACAGTTTAGTATACAGTAATACTATTAAAATTTTGTAGCAAGTTTCGAGTTTGTTCGAAAGCAAGTCTTGTTTTGATAACCAAGTCTCCTTAATTTTGGGAAATAAAAAGTTATTTAATGCGCACATCAATAAATTTTTACAGAGTTTTTCTGCAGATGTCAAATTGAGACAAAAAAACGTATCAAAACGTACGATGTTTTGATACGTTTTTTGTCTCAATTTGACATCTGCAGAAAAACTATGTATGAGAACAAAATTAGTTGAGTTTTTTTAATCGAAATTAAATAAATTTAATGTTTGTTCTTTAATTGAAGTGAGGTTGACAATGTAAAAATAAATTTGACGATGAATGGAAGTAATGATTTGAATTCTAATTATACGGCGCTCCCGTCATCAACCTTGACATTCTCGACATGCTCGGGTGCAACCATGTGAACTCTTTCCTTACAGATTCACAACAAAAGTGTTTAAACTTTGCAAATTGCGGGAGTAATTAATGGAAACAATTAAATGTATGATAAAAATGTTGTACAGTTTTTTAAGTATTCGAATTTTTTAATCTGTGGGAAATTACTTAATATTTTGAATATTGTGTGTGCGTACACGTGTAATCTTACAGTTTAGCGAACAAATTAAAATATCTGCGAAGTAGTTTATAATTCTTATCTTTGGGTATGTTACGGTTTATTATCACCTAATATTTTTATTATCTTCTGATACTTTAATATCATCGCAGATTATTATCAAAAACAGGTGTTTTCAAAAACAGGTGTTTGATACATTTTGTCAGTGAATTTTTACTTTTTGGTGTTTTTTCTAATTCTTACTTTTCGAGGTTGTGTTAAGTTGCATCTTTATTTGCTACTATTTGAATACTTTTCTCTTAGATTCGTGACACTAAATGCAACATTTTTTTGGGGGGGAATTTACACTACCTTAAATCCACTAATAATTAAAATAGAGAAATCGTTTCGTTTATAAAACTTTTGATTAATTGTTGTAATTTCTGATTTTTTTCTGATTTTCTTTTTAAAAGGAGTCCAACAATACTGAGAATTAATTTCGATATGTTGGTAGCATTTTAATTTGAAATACGTCTTCTGTTGAGCTCTCAAGGCTTCTTTGCATTCAGAACTTGTGCAGGGTCCATGTCCGGACCGGAAGTGACCAGCAATGTATCTGACAGCTTTATAAAAGTATTAAACCCTCTGTCATCTTTCCACCTCCTCTTCGGGAACAACCGCACGACAATCACTGTGGGTTCAAGGATACATAAATTGTCAAGAACGTTTTCACGTCATCTTCGGTGTATTTCTCTAGTTTCTTGATTCTTTTTGTCAACTTATTGTGGTAGTGAAAGTGTGTATATGCAGGATGGTATTCAGAAAACTGGTTGAACAAGTATCTTATTAAATCCTTCAACTGTACCTTGATATTACTCCAGAAGTGTTTTGCGATTGTCATTATGCGTTCTGTATGTAAACTCTTTGAGTTATTTGTTGGCATGGAGAGATTTAGTCTTCGTTTTACTAACTATTTTTATGTTTTGTTCACTAATCTTTGCTTAACTGATTATCTACTTGTCGTAACTAATGAGATCGTTAATTATCATTAATTATCTCATAAACTCCTTAATGCAAGAACCAGACATAGACCACTGAATATACGCTGGTTCTTGCATCAAGGTTTTCAATTGTCAACCTAACCGAATCGAAATAAACTTGTGTTAGATTTACACGAGGCAGGTTTTTAGTGTCTCCTATTTTGATAAAATGTGAAAAGGAGTAAAATTACAAAACAAGGCAAGAATGCGAATTTCATGGGGGATTATATGGTTGGAGTTGAGTGAAAAGAGAGTAGAGCTGAAAAGTGCATATGGAGCACCTTACATGAGAGGCAGAAGAGACCACCTCCCATATGACAATATTTGCAATAGGGACCGTTATCGATCCTGCCGGCGTCCCTATATACTTTCATTCTCGAGTCTACATATGGGCTCTCGTGTATAATTCCGTGAACAATAGAATAGAAAAAGAGATAATGTAGAATGTAGAAAAAAAAACACATGCATTTATTGTGTCACGCTCTGTTTACATTTGTCTAAAGTGATATTGTATCTATTTACATGTTTCGTGCCAGTGCGCTTATAGAAACTTCAAACCGACGACACCTATATGAAGAAATTAATCCGT